AACAGTAGTTTGAATATTAACAGTAGTGCAAATGTAAACAGTAGTGCAAATTGATTGAGCACATGAGCATGTGTTGAGTGTATAACCTGTTTTTTTAATGATGCAGAGTTCAGTGTTAAAAAGTTTTTGTGTTGTGTGGAAATGTGTGAAAGTTTTGTGTGTTAAGGCGGTACAAGAGGGAGGGGAGTTAGAGCAGGCAGAGAGTTCAGCATCCTGACTGCCTGATGAACAGAGCTGTCTCTCAGTCTGCTAGTTCGAGCCTGGAGACTTCGCAGTCTCCTTCCTGATGGCAGCAGGCTGAAGAAGCTGTGTAGTGGGTGTGTGGGATCACCTGCCATGCAGAGGGCTTTCCGAGTGAGGCGGGTACTGTGTAAGTCATGTAGCGAGGGGAAGGAGGTGCCGACGATCTTCTCGGCTGCTCTCACAATGCGCTGGAGTGTCTTGCGGCACGATGCAGTACATGCACCGAACCACACCGTGATGCAGCTGGTCAGGACACTCTCTATGGCACCCCTGTAGAAGGTGCACATGATGGGGGTTGGAGCTCCAGCTCTTTTCAGCTTGCGGAGAAAGTAGAGGCGCTGGTGAGCCTTCTTGGCCAGTGATGCAGTGTTTCTGCTCCAGGACAGGTCCTCTGAGACATGCACTCCCAAAAACTTGGTGCTGCCCACTCTCTCCACAGTAGTGCCATTGATGGTCAGAGGAGCATGCTGGGCATGCATCTTCCTGAAGTCCACAACAATCTCCTTTGTCTTATCCACGTTCAGAGAAAGATTGTTGTGTCTGCACCACAAGGCCAGGCGGCTCACCTTGTTCCTGTAGTCTGTCTCGTCATTGTTGCTGATGAGACCCACCACAGTTGTATCGTCCGCAAACTTGAAAATCTTCACTTTGTCACTGTCTCCCATTGTGAGCAAGCGCAAAGGAGACAGTGGAAAGGAAAAACTCCCCTTTTAACAGGAAGAAACCTCTAGCAGGAACAGGCTCATGAGAAACAGACATCTGCTTTGACCAACTGTTGCTGCCTGTATGGTAGGGATTTCTGTCAGGTTTATTATAGTAACAAGTAGATTGTTAGTTCAGGTTATGTTTCCAGATGGATATATTTGTGTGTGACAGACTGAGAAGGGACTAGAGAGAGGCACTTGTTATGTAGTTCTGTACTGCTACAATAAAGTTTATATTAAGCAATGATACTGCTTTAACCGTCCATTCTGTATAGTTGGATTAAGACGGAACAGAGTGAAAGATGGTGGCAGCAGTTGTGAAGTCAGCTGAAATAATATCCTGATGCATGCTCAAGAATCCAGGTAGATAAATCTAAGAAAGTTAAGTCAGGTCCTCTGGACGGGTTCAAAAAACAAAAGATTATAGAAACGTTTTGTCTTTCTTCTGAAATACTTCATCAGTCTGAGGAGCTGCACCAAGCTCAGTTTTACAAATAGCACCTTTTAATAGTGGATCAACCACTTTGTTGTTGACATTCAAAACTAGCTGTTCACATGAGCAAAGGAGGACTATCACCCTAACAATGGATTGTTAGCACCCTGATGGCCACTTGCTATTCACAGGGGGCTGAGTGAGACTAGCAATAACAACATTGTAAGAGGGGGACAAATGAACACGGAGGTCTCCGCCCCTGTTTAAAACCCCAAAATACATTACGGCAAAGACTGGTCCATCCCAAAGATCCAACCCCTTGGCACAAACAGAGCAATATTGTGTATGCTGTTCAGTATCAGGAGGGCTGTGATAAGCCCTATGTCGGGGAAACCAAACAGCCACTGGCCAAAAGGCTGGCCCAGCACAGAGGAGCAACATAATCAGGCCAAGACTCTGTGGTTTACACTTATCTGCAAGCCAGCGGTCATGCTTTCAGAGATGAAGATGTTCACATCCTTGATAGAGGAACAATGGTTTGAGTGAGGAGTAAAGGAAGCCAACTTTGTGTAAAGAAACCGTCCATCATTAAGCCTCCTTGTTTAACTGTCCCCTTTTACAATGCTGTTATTGCTAGTATCACTCTGCCCCCTGTGAATAGCAAAAAGCCAAGAGGGTGCCAACGATCCATTGTTAGTCAAGTCAAGTCACATTTATTTATATAGGGTCCTCCTTGATCATGTGAACTACTTCTTTTGAATGTCAACAAACTGGTTGATCCACTATGAGAAGGTGCTATTTATAAGACTGCGCTTGTTGCAGCTCCTCAGACTTAAGAAGTCTTTTGGATGAAAGACTAAACATTTCTACAATGTTTTTTTACCCTGTCCAGAGGACCTGACTTAACTTTTTTAGATCAGCCGAAGTAAGTTTGTACCAAGCCAGAAAGAGCTAAATGTGCCACTAGCTTGTTGTTGTTAGCCTAGCCCTGGAGTTTGAGCAGCTGGTTGTTGTGGAGAAGACAAAGGCAGAACAGACAAGAGCAACAGACGTCACGATGGAGGGTATGTCACAATGGAGGGTACGTCACGATGGAGGGTTGCAAGCCACCGCCTACACTTTGTTTGGATTCAGCCAACTTAGCAAAGACCTGGAAAAGTTGGAAAGAGGAGTTTAAGCTGTATATAGACCTCACTATGCCGGACGCAGAGGAAACAACTAAAGTGAAGTTGTTCAACTACCTTCTTGGAGAGAGGGGGAGATAACTTTTGACAATGCTGATGATCTGTGAGAACAGTGAGTTCATTGATGACACTGTTTGATAACCATTGCAATCCGAAGCTGAATGAGACTGTCAAGTGTTACAAGTTTTTTGTCAGAGACCAAGGACAGGATGAGAATCTTGACAGATATGTTACAGATTTAAAAGTGTTGTCCAGCACATGTAATTTTGGCAACATTCTGTAGGTGTTCTGTCCTGCCTTCTTCCTTCCTCCACTCAGGACACTTAATTGGCAGTAGCTGTAGCACATCAACTCTTCATGCAGGAGGAGTATAAGAAGCCACAGAGACCAAGCAGCAGGCGCTGGGACATCCACTACCAACGGTAGAGTTGTTCTAGCCAGTCTACCTCTAGGAAGCCTATGATTATTAATGCCTCGTGTTTTTGTTTGCATTCTCAGAGTTCACCAGCCGTCCTACCACTCTGCTGTGAAAACCTTTGTGAGATTCTCATCCTCCTGCATTCCTTCAGCTGCTCTGTACCACCACCACTCGCCTGCCTGCTTTGGATTACTCTGCTCTACGCTCTGGACATTGTTGGATATTGTTGGGTACCCTAGCTCTGCTCCAACCTCGACCATCTCCAGTAAGAAAACCCATCACCAGAATTCTACTAAAAATCCTCCAGGCAATCTACTCACTGCTCCCTCTGCCACACAGGAGAACCAGCACTCTCACATGATGTCACTTTAATATTCCACTTTGTAAATAAACACTGTAAATTGATATTTAATCTTGGTCTCTGTTTTGTCTCAGTCCTTTCATTCTGGGTACACCCGTTAACATAACACATTCATGATTCACTAATAAGGGACCACATTGTTTGTGGGACAAATTGCTCTGCAATGAGTGGAAAGACTATTAAGGGAAGAAAACTTAACTCTGGACAAGTGTATGCAAATATGCAGAGCTACTGAACTGTCAAAAGAGAACAGCAAAACCATACAAGGGAAAGCGGTGGAGGAAATACATACAATGAAAAAGAGTCTGAGGAGAAACAAACAGGATGAGATTGTTGGATTCCTGGGTTTTTCTGTCACTCACTCTCTTTCCACAGCTAATCACCTTCAACTCACTACACCTGCTGCTGCCTGAGGAGATCTGATCTGGGGCTGTATATAAACTCCTGCCAGACATCTCTTCAGCGCCGGGACATCAACTACCTTATGGTAACTCATGTTCAGCCAACTAACCTTTTTCCATTACAGCCAGTTCTCACCATCTGTGAGCTCTCCAGGGCCTTCCACGTCCTGCTCCTTTAAGTCCCTAGGACCTCATCTCTCCACTGTAATTCTCCCGTGGACCAACAGTGTCTCATCAAACCACAGCCATCAAACAACCAGCTTGGGCCAATCTGCTCCTTTCTCCACCAATACTCACCTCAACACTGGATCTCTCCAAAACCCAGGACCTCTCCACTCCTCCTTGGGGTGCACCTGCAAACACACAAACAATAAGAGATGATTCCATCCAGCCATTCATCCATTATTTTTACTCTTTTCTTCCATTTTGGGTCATGGGGGTTGCTGGTGCCCATGTCGAGCAATCACTGTGCGAGGGGCGGGGTACACACAGGTTGCATATCTATCACAGGGCCACATAGAGACAAACAAGACAAACAACCATTCACTCTCTCACTCACACCTTGGGACAATTTAGAGTTACCAATCAGCCTAACATGCATGTTTTTGGTCTGTGGGAGGAAACCGGATACCCGGAGAAAACCCATGCATGCATGGAGAGAACATGCAAACTCCACCCAGAAAGGTCCCCGGACCAGGGATTTGAACTGGCAACCTTCTCGCTGAGAGGCAGCAGCTCTACCAGTTGTGCCATTGTGTTGCCTAAGAGATTATTTTTCATTCAAAATTCATCATTACCAAGGATTGTCTGAGGATTTAAAAAGATACTTACCTTGCCCTCTCCTCTCTTCCAGCCATGTAAATACCTGGCACTGCACCTGTAAATAAAGTTCACTTACCTTTTGCATCTTGACTCTGTCATTCCTTCTCAATCTGTTTACTTTGGGGGTTACCGCTAAATACAATCACAATAGAATGTCCTGGCTGAACGGACCCCTCAAGCGGAACTGAAGATGTTCAGGCTCAGCCAAGATTAAAAGAGAAAACTGACCAACATGCTGTGACTTTACAGAAAATCCTAACCCAGCAGCAAACCACCCAAGACAACCTTCAGGAGCTGGGTAGCACGGTGTTTGCTATTCGTAAAGAGATGACAGTCTAATCCTTCTCAGTAACTCAAATTGCTCCTGCAGTACCCACGGTCCAGACCAGTACCCTGCCTCCCAAGGAACCAGACGTAAGACCTTCAGAAATGTTTTGAAGGTAATACACACAAATGTGGAGGCTTAATCCTACAATGTAATATGATGTTCAACCAAGCTTCAGCCACCTATGCCCCAGACTCTGCCCGCATAACTTATGTTGTCAGCGCTCTGAAGGGAGAAGCGCAAGGTAGAATTGGGCTTATGCTTACCCTCGCAGACGTCCCATTGAAGCCTTGGTGTTTTTCACCTGTTTGAAGGATTTTCTTTGAGTTTTCGATCACCCCCTGCAATAGGAGGAGGTGGCTCAAAAACTATTCACCATACGCCAAGGAAAGGAGATGGTGGACAAATTCGTCATTCACTTCCACATATCCTGACTGTGGAGGAATCCAAATGGGTTGAGACAGCACTATGTAGTGCCTTCATTAACACTTTAAACAAACGCATAAAAGACTAACTGGTTATCAGAGATCTTCCCGCTGATTTGGATGGGGTAATTTCTCTGGCGATAAAGATTGATAATAGAGTTTGTGAAGGTTTGTTGGAAGAAAACTACAACTCCTGCGAATGCACACTACCTGAATGTACCACTCTCGTTCAAGCAGATTCAACTTCCGAACCTGAGCCGATGCAGATTGGCAGGACTTGGCTCTCTCCTGAGGAATGACAGCACCGCCTCAACGCCAATGCCTGTATGAATTGTGGAAAGAAGGGTCCCATAATCACTGCCTGTCACCTACACGTAAAAGACAGAGCTCACCAGTAATTTAGGAGATGCTGGTGGGTATGATGTCATTAACTCTTGGAAAATCTCATTCTGCCAGTGATTATATGCATTAATTCTGTCAACTTCCCTATACAGACCCTGATTGATTCCAGCACTGAACAAAATCTCATCAGCCGAAGCCTGGTGGAAGAACTGCAAATTCCAACTGTCAGTCTGACACCAGTCATCACTGT